TTAAAAAAAAAAAATCTTTATTTCAGGGAGAGGGGGCGAGAGAGAGAAACATCAATGATGAGTCATTGATCAGCTGCCTGCTGCACGCCCCCCACTGGGGACTGAGCCTGCAACCAGGGCATGTGCCCTGACCAGGAATCGAACCTCGATCTCCTGGATCATAAGTTGATGCTCAACCGCTGAGCCACTCTGGCCGGGCCAGCTCTTCCTTTGGTAGACTGTCATGCTGACATCGTTTGGATGGAAAGATGTTTGGGGTTCAGTGGTTGTCCACTGGATATCCATATAGAACCATTGGTCCCCTTCTGCTGTCCCATACAGATGTCTGGTTAACCCAGTAGGTTGACATATTGGCAGATTCATTTTAATGGTGGGTTTCAATTTTCATGATTTCCTCGTGGGACTTGTGAGGGCTTCGAAAAGCTTTAACACTTCACTTTCACATCAGCTTCTGGAAAGTCCCATGTTTTCCTGCCTTTGGAAAATATTTCTTGGTGACTGGAAGCCCTGGGCTTGGATGATGTCATCACAAAGCAAGGATGAACGAGAGAGGCCCAGACACACCCTAAAGTTGTTTTGTCTTGTCCTTAATCCTTTCCCCACCAGCCTGGCTGAACAACTGTGTGGGCCACTATAACCATCGGTACTTCTTCTCTTTCTGTTTTTTCATGACTCTGGGCTGTGTCTACTGCAGCTATGGAAGTTGGGACCTTTTCCGGGAGGCTTACGCTGCCATTGAGGTGAGCCCATAGTTAGGAGCCAGGCCTCTCCTTAGAGAGCACTTTGGGGTGTGGAATCTGTCCCTAAGGAGTGGGGCTGGTAGCACCTCCATGCTAGAGGCCTGAGAGTATAACCAGCACTGTTTTCCATCCCCTTAGAAAATGAAACAGCTCGACAAGAACAAACTACAGGCGGTTGCCAACCAGGTGGGCGGTCCCCACTCCACTGCCTCCTGCTGCTCAGGCCAGGGGGTATAGAGTTGCTGAGGCAACCGGGGCCCACCTGGTGGAGTTGTAGACTGGTTGAGGGGCAGCTGGAGACTGGATCAGGGGTGTTCTGGGAGGCTGTCTGCCATGCAAACTAAGTGGCCTGGGGGGCAAGTTGGAAGTCCCTGGTATGTGAGTTTTTGGCTCTCTATTCCATTATCACCGTCTTTGGGCTGAGCAAGGACTCTGCCTTGGTGATGGCCTGAGCAGCAAGGAGTCTGTGTTAGTCTGTGTACTGGGGCTCCAGGGGACAGAGGTCAGGCTGGCCAGTCCTTCGCTCCTGGTCTGCCTGCGTTGGCATCTGTACCGTCCCTTCTCCCCAGGCTTTTTGGGACTCCCTTTTCCAAGCAGATCTTGGGCTAATGATTGTACCTCTGCTGCCCTTTCAGTCCTTAGTGTAGCTTATAGTTCTCCCTGCTGCAGTCATTCCATTCTGAGTATGGTCTGGTTCCTTCTCTTGGGGATTGCAGCCACAGGGTGAAGGAATTCTAGCTGGGGAGTGGAGTGGCTTCCCCTGGAGCCCCATTTGTGTTGTCAGATCTAAAGGCCCAGGGTCGGCTCCTCCTGTGCTTTGCCATCCTGTTCAGACCTGCTCTGCCCAGTGTTTGTCCACATGATGCTGCTGGGCTTGGTCCACCCATCTGGCTGCTACCCTGACTCTGTGGCTTAACCCATTATTTTTTCATCCTGGGCTTGGGTCACTTCCCTGCCTGAAGGTGCTGGGGGCTCTGGTGGATTCCAGCACAGCAAATGAGCCAGACTTTGCTGTTTTCTTTTTCTAGACTTATCACCAGACCCCACCACCCACCTTCTCCTTCCGAGAAAGGATGACTCACAAGAGTCTTGTCTACCTCTGGTTCCTGTGCAGGTATCTAACTCTCCTTTTTGACAGCTTAAGAGGGGCAGCTTCAGAAAAACCTTTTTGGGTGCCCACAGGGACCCATCCCTGTGTGAACTGCTGCTCTTCTTAGTCTAATTTAGGTTGTCAAAGTCAGCATTTAATTTTCTTCAGCATTTTGGTGCAGGGAGCATAAGGATACTGGCATTGAGTGTTTGTTATGTGCCAAGGTAAGTTAAACTCCTACCTAAACAGTAGGTGGCTACATTTTATAGATGAGGAAAACTGAAAATTAGAGGGGTGAAGTGATTTGTTCTATAATACACAGCTAGGAATGAATGGTAGAGCAGAGTCTGAATTTTGTGCCATCCCATTCCAACCCCTGGTGCTTTTACTTCCCTCTACAGTCTCTCAAGTGTGGGTATTTTAATTATTTTTATTTTTAGGACACAAAGGTTTCTTTAATCATTTTTTGGGGAGAAGGGACACCACACCTTCTACCCAATTAAGAGAAACATTTTTATCAGTACAGAGGTTTGTGTTTTTTTTTAAAACACTTATCATGCCATGAATTCATAGGGAATGGGTTCCAGCAGCTCAGGCTCCTTTCCATTGGTTCTCGCAAAGTATGCTTCCATGGGTGGAGCAGGCTGATGCTTCAGTTGAACCCANAAAGTATGCTTCCGTGGGTGGAGCAGGCTGATGCTTCAGTTGAACCCAGGTGCTCAAGTGTGAGTATTTTAAGAAATACAGAACATTTTTATTAGAATACGGACTTATTCCCTCTCCTTTCCACATTAATTTATTCCTAGCCCATGTTGAAGCATTATTATTGCTTTTTATAGATATGGTTAAGTAAAAGTTCGTCTGGGATGTGTAGGCTGGGAGATAAGAAAGACAGGCAGAGGTCCCTTAGCCAGTCATCATCGCTCAGCTTAATTTCAGATATAGCTGCTAACCCTCTCTAAGCTCCTCACCAGTCTTTACCCCTTTTCTTAGTTCTGTGGCCCTGGCCCTGGGTGCCCTAACTGTATGGCATGCTGTTCTCATCAGTCGAGGTGAGACTAGTATTGAAAGGCACATCAACAAGAAGGAGAGACGTCGGCTACAGGCCAAGGGCAGAGTGAGTAGGGCTGAGGACTGGGGGTGGGTTGCTGGGTGGGTAACTGAACCTGCCATCCTATAAACAGGCCATGGTCAGGGCCAACTAGGGCGGGCAGCCTAAAAAGCCAGAACTTGCCTAGCTGAGCCTTGGCTTGGCTTAGGGTTGAAAATTAGAAGGGGATTAAGTCAAAGGGGTTGGTAGAAACTTGTTTTTTTCGCCCTAGGTGTTTAGGAATCATTACAACTATGGCTGCTTGGACAACTGGAAGTTATTCCTGGGTGTGGATACAGGAAGGTAAAGTAAAATACCTAGACCAGTGCTGTCTGATAGGACTCTATGATGGGAAAGGTGTTCTGTACCTATGCTGTCTAAGACATTAGCCACTAGCCAGCTACATGTGGCTACTGAGCACTTGAAATGTGGCTAATGTGAATTTTTAATTTAAATTTTCACTAATTTAAAAAGGCACATGTGTGCCCTGGCCTGGTAGCTTAGCTGGTTAGAGCCGTTGTCCCAGTACGCTAAGGTTGCAGTTAGGTCTCAGTTAGCACATACAAGGATCAACCAATGAATGCATAGATAAGTGGAACAAGTCAGTGTTTTTCCCCTCTCTCTCAAGTCAATAAATAAAAAATAAAAACCCTCCACAAAAATGCATGTGGCTAGTGGCTACCATATTGGACAGCACAGATCTGGATTCTAGAGATCATTGCTCATTTGAGCCAACAGCGCGTAAGGCCAACACTGTGGTTTAAGTAGCAGATGAGGCTTAGAGGTGACACAATGAAATCCCAAGAAAGCTGTTTTCAGGAAAGTACTTCTAGGTAGGGAAGGTGGCCACCAACTGCCTCTCATTTTTATGGGAGTGTCTGGAGTTCAAGCCAATAATTTCTGGATTGAAGTAAATGAAGCTAGTTCCTTCCGCCTGAGACATGGGAAAATCATTTTTCCAGTTGCAGTGACTGAGGCAGTAATAAAGTGACTATAGTACCTACCTGCCTCCCTTTCCCATCCCCATTACATTTCTGGCTGTCCATGTGCTTGCAGTGGCCCCTTAGACGTTCAGCTCAAAACCTCTAAAGGCCTTCAAGGCACCAGAGGACATATTTAATGGACAAAATTAGGGCTTTTATTCCTTTGTGATTAATGCCAAGGCAGCTCAGGATACCTTGAAGTACCTTACTAAGGAATGAGGATCAGGAAGCCCAAGAACCATTGGAACTCAGAGACATTTCTGTCTTCTCTTGCAGGCACTGGCTTACTCGGGTGCTGTTACCTTCCAGTCACCTGCCCCACGGGAATGGAATAATCTGGGACCCCCCTCCCTGGGTGACCGCTCAGTCAGCCTCTGTGATGGCAGTGTGAGCTGGATTCTGTCAGCCACAGTTTGAGCATCATCCTGCTTCCTGCATTGTCGCAAGGGCCTCCAAGATAGCTTCTCGGAATCCTTGAGCAAAAGCAGCTGCTGGGTCTGCCTTAGGGTACCACGCAGGGACAACTCAAGGACCTATCTCCTGGCCAATGCAGAAGCAAGGCGCGATGTGGAAAAATCTTAGGACTGATGTTCCTTTACTCAGGCAAACAGAAGTTCCAGCCGCAGACTGGAGATTAGGCAGCTAGCAACCTTGCAGGGTGCTGACCCCAACCTCCAGGTTATAGCACTGAAACTGGCCACCACCTCTCCCACTTGCTGTCTGAGAAAACACCCGAATGGGCATGCTGAGATCCTGGCTTCTCAACAGGGCAGATACCAAGCCTACTGCTGAGGTCACTGCCACTTCTCACATGCTGAAGGAAGCAAAAATAAAGGTATTTGATTTTTAAAGACGTGCAGCTTCTCACTCTTTGCCACTACTTTAGGGCAGCAACGGGGAAAGTCAGGGTCAAGGCCTAGTGCGTAGGTGTTCTGGTCATGCTACCTGTGCTCTATCTTGAAGGATTGTATGCCCTGAAGAATTCTTGGCTAATCTGTTATTACTGTTCTTTTTGCTTATACAGCGATGCTTCTGATTACATGCTACTGAGGCATGGTGGGGGGCAAGGGGTGGGAAGAGAATATCTGACAGCCCCATTATCAAAAGAAATCTTTATTTTCCAGCAGATATACACACATGCTCCATCCCTGGTCCTCAGGGCCATACTCATCTGCATTCATTCCTCAGCAGCATATCTCTTTTTCTGACATACAAATATGGAAGAGCCTTAAGATCTTTCTTCAAACACAAGTAGTCTTACACTCAGTTACTTCACAAATCCATTAGAAATCAGGACTCCTTTTCCTTGTACAGCTGTGCAATGGAGGCCCAGCATTTATGCTGTGTCTGTGGGAAAGGCAATCAGAGGCCAGTGGTCTCCCTGCCTTGGCAAGATGGCTCAATAGTTAGTAATTCCAGGTTAGATTGTCAGAACAGTCTAGCCAGGACTGAGGGCTCAGCTGCCAGGGCTTCCCAGCAGAAACCTGTAGGCAGAAAGAATGTTGGCAGCATTAGTGGTGAGGCTCATTTCAATCCCCTCTCTCCCCATGACCTAGGAACTCACCATTCTCCCCTGGCTGACACTGCTTCCTTGCGTACCAGCCTCTTCTTGTCATCCAGAGGTTTGGCTAAGGCCCGGATCACCTGTGGTTTGTACGGCAGCAGCTGTGGAGAGGAGTTAATCTTAGCCTGTTTAACCAAGGCAACCAAAAGAGCCACTTCTCTGACTCTACAACTAATAGAATACTATTTTCTAGTGGTTCCAGAGGATGCTAGATGGCAGGATGACCATTCTATTATAGGGTATTCAGGCAAATCCTTGTCTCTCTGTACCTTGCAGTTCATATCTCAGTCACATAGCAGGGTGGCCAGTTATGCCTAAGGCAAAATTAGAAGTTCCCAGGCCAGAGAAGGACACCTGATGTACTCACCACAGGGGTGGGCAGACGAGTGAGTGCGTGCATGCACTGCAGTGCGGCAATCCGGACAGCCTGGAACACAACCATAAGGAGGTGAGGGGAGCCCCGAGAAGGAGCCAAAGATGCCAAAGCTTGCTGGGGCTCAACGTACCATGGAAGGGCTAGAGCTGAGGTTCAGGAATTTGGTAACGAGGGTATCAACGTGAAGACTCATGACTTGAGGTGCTTCTAGCAGAAGAGGCTGAAGGCAGCTGAGGGTGGAGAGCTGTACCACACAGTCGGGGCAGGACAGGGCCTCCAGCAGCAGGGAAAGCAGCTAAGGGGCCACAGGAAAGGTGGGGATGACCATATATGTGATAAGCCTGCTTTTCTTCCCCTCTCTAGCCCAGCTGGGGGACAATGGCTTGGTCTCTTGCTTTAGAGGCTCTGACTGCAAGGCTTACCGTGGGCAGCTCTGGTAAGAGCACAGGCTTAGGCAGCCTGTTAAGTACATGAGACAGACCTTTCAGGTAATTTGGCTTCACATCTATAAAAAAAAAAATGGAAAAGTTTAGGGGAGAAACGGCTCAGACACAGAGCTTGAGAATTCAACTCCAATCTGATGAAGCTGGGACATGAACCTACAAAAGTTAAAAAACAAACAAAAAAACCCCTCAAGCTCAGAATAGGCAAGATGTACCCATCAAGGAAAAAGAGTGGGACAGAATCTGGAAGGTTAGCCCTTTAGGTACAGACCCCACTATAGCTCTGAAGAAGCACTGAGGTCCTAAATTATTTTACAGAATGAGGCCTGAGCAAAGGAGAGGTCTATAAATTTGGGGGCTTTCTTTTAGACTCTTTACCTTGGGGAGCAGCATGGAAGCCCTGGACCAAAGCAGGCACATTATCTGTGAAGAAGCGCTGGCGGAACATGATCCGCACTTCAGCATGTCCAGCACGAGTCAATACATCAGTGCAGTCAGACATGAGCAGAGAGAAGCCATCAGCTGCTGTTGGGCCTAGTTCTGGATCACTCAGGAGGCCCATGAGCTAGAAAAAAGAGCCTTTGAGGTATATTGGGAGAAGAGTCTTAAATACCCAAGAGGAGGATGGAAGTAATTTCTGGGAGGAATAGGATCAACAGGAAATTCCGGTTTAGGTCCTAGGTTCCCTTGTCTCCAGAAAGGACTTACCCGGTCTGTAAGGCAGGAGCTGAGAGGATGATATCTGAGCACTAGGGCCTTTGTTACCTGTAATCAGAAAAGAGGATGGTCAGGGCATGACACTCAAAGCCCAGAACCCTGAGAAACATGCTTATGGTTCCAGGTCAAATGGAGAAATTTTACTTAACCAGACATAATTGTCTCTTTTTAAAGAGAATCCATTCCGACTCCTTACCCAGAGAAGCAGTGTGAAGGCCTGACTACGATAGGGCCCAGAGCCCAGCCCAGCCTCTACTTTGTCCACAGCCAGCTGTAGGAATTCATCCAGCTGTTGCCCTAAAAAGGAGGAAATACTGATGCAAAGGCTACACATTTCTCCTTTAACAATGAAGGATATAAATCGTTTCAGTGCAGAGCTCCCTGAGGAGCCATCAGAAGGGAACAATATCACTTGGCTGTAGGCTTTGCCCACTCAACTCTGAGATGTCAGCGCGAGCGCCTGGTATCCTCATAGCACAGGGGTGCTGCCATTTGAAAACAGTTGTTTCCTTCCAATAAAAAAGATCCCTGGCAGCTCCCTGTAGGGAGCAGGATGACAGATTAGACACAGCAGTCTGCTTGTACCCCCTCATCTTATGTCCTGTAATGCTTTGTCCAACTCCGGTCTTAACTCTTGTCCCAAGGGCTGGCCCCTGGGAAACCCTATTATATGTATTAGCAAGCTCCTTTTTAAAAAAGAATGCGGACTGAACTTCAAGGTTTCGTCAGGGAGCCTTCCAGTACCTGCAGGGTGCTTGTTGAGGAGTCCTGCAAAGCACTTGGCAGCGGCGGTGGAGGAGAAGGGGCAGCTGTGGCAGCAGCTCAGCTCTAAAAGCTCCCGCATGAGTTGGTTCAACTGAGGGATTTCCACCTACAGAAAACCTGGTCATGTAATGGACCCAAAGAACACTTGAACTCAAAGAGATACCCAGAAGAAAGTGGCAGCAGGGGCCAGGATGAATGAGAACTACTTTCTTCAGTGGGGAAAGTAGATCAGCTTAGTCTGTGACAAATTTCAGCCCAGAAGTCACCTGGGATCCACCTCCCCTTGTCAGGGTTAAACTAGGGTATTCCTCAAACGTGTTCACTTACAGTTCGAGGCAGGGAGCAGACAAAGGCCATAAGCAGTGCAACCAGCCTCCTCTGTCCTGAGGAGCCATCCTATAAAGGAAGAGCTTTACCAAGCCTGCCATGCCAGCAATAGGCTTATCTGCTCCAATAACCATCCCAGATTAGCTCTAGAAATTTGAAGGACAAATTCCAGGATTCTACCCAATCTATTCCATCAGACCCTTACCTGGAATGGCTGGAATCTGCAAGGGAAGCTGTTTTCAGGCAGAAAGGAGATGTTGCCATCCAAGAACAGGGGTACAATGTGCGCAACACTCTGGGCAGCTAAGCTAGGGGTAGAGCACTAGGTATCACCAAGAAGCCAGAGTCATAAAGCAGCCCTGGAGTTCCCATTAGAGTCACTGAGTCAATGGGTCTGAGCATGATCATTCACACATTCAATAATTATTAATTCAGCACATATTATACACCAGGAACCATTCCTATTCTAGGCCCTGGTGATAAGAACAGCAAGCCAGACAGAGCAAATCCCTGTTCTGGAGCTCACAATCTAGTAAGAGAACCCAATGTATATTTAAAAATGCTCCACAGGTGATTCTTACGCACATCTGCAGCTAAGAACCATCAGGCCATGGCTCATCCACCCCACAGTCCATGCTGCTAAAAGCCCCTTCCTCTGACTTTGCCAGCAAAACTTATAAGACAAATAACTGCCTCCACATTTGATTGTGGGTAAAAGGACAACTCAGAAGGCAGCTACCTGCTTCTGCTTCCCAAGATTTCTATCCTCCCTCGGATCAAGTCACATCCATGATTATACTCACTCAGGGCTTAAGTGGGTGGTGGCAGTGCCAATGACAGACACCATGGCAGCCAAGACCTCATCCTCCAACAGCACTTTTCTCATAACTGAATGCTCCTTCTCTGCAAAATCAACACACACACACACACACACAAAATCATAAGGCCATGACTATGGTTTAGATGATTAGGTACTGTTGTCATGACTGAGGCTGGACTCTAGTCACACCAGCAGTGGTTTCTAACTTGTCCTGNTTAGGTCCTGTTGTCATGACTGAGGCTGGACTCTAGTCACACCAGCAGTGGTTTCTAACTTGTCCTGCAGTAATGCTGTGGAACAGAGCCATCAAGGCACCAAAGCAGGAGAAGTTTAATGTGGGCCACAGAGAGCTCTCGAGAATTTTGTGCAGTCCTTAGACTGGGCAACAGTGGAAAATAAGGCCAGCTAATATGAATATTCTTAACATCAGAAATAGTTATGTTAGCCTTTACAAAAACTTAACATGGATTTATGATACACTCATTATGATAGCAGCTAGCATATATCGAGCTACATGATACCTACTACATACATTACTGTGTTGCGAGTAACTATGCATTATCTTACTTAATCCTTAGCAATTGCCCTATAATATAGATATTTCTCTTATCTCCCCCCTAATAAGTGAGGAAACAGGCTTAGAAAGGCTAAATATCTTTACCTAAATGAGTGATGGAGCTGAAGATGAAACCCAACCAGGTTTACTTAACTCCAGAGCAGAATTCTAACTAAACTAATTACATAACAAACAGCAAAAAGAGGTGCATCCTTTTGAGCATTACTAACATGAATGGATTTTGGTTCCTGCAACTGGCAAGGCTAGCACCCTTTGCTTGAAGTGAAATCTTAAAATAAGCCTCTGCTGGTACAAAATGCAGTACCAGTGAAAACCTGAGGGTGGCAGTGCTGTTCAACAGTAGTGGAAGGCCAAAGTCTAGAGGAGGGGTAGGTGAGGTGGAGAAAGTTACCTGGCATGGAAGCCTGCACAGCCAAGGCAAGCAGGCAAGGTATAGCTGTCTGGTGGAAATACCAGCAGCTTTCAGGGTCCAGCTGGCATTTTTCTGCCACCCGCTGGAGGCTCTGACAGACAGCAATAACTTCACTTGGTCCTGCAACCACATTCCCTGTGTGGTGAGAAAGTATTCTCTGTAAGATTTTCCTAAAAGCACTTCTACGTATTTCAGATAGAGCAGATGGAAAGAACAATCAAAGGTGAGTGACCAGGAGTGTCTTATTAAAGAGCCAAGTCATTTTATTCTTTTGGATGCTCAACCACTAAGCCATACCAGCTGGGCTGATGGAATATATCTAAATGTTTTTATTGATTCAGAGACAGGAAGGAGAAGGGAGAGACAGAAACATCAATGATGAGAGAGAATCATCGATTGGCTGCCTCCTGCACACCCCCAACTGGGGATCAAGCCCACAACCCAGGCATGTGCCCTGACTGGGAATCGAACCGCGATCCCCTGGACCATATTTTGAGTAGCATGGCCTTAGAGTGGTACTTATCAATTCTGGCTCCATAGTAAAATCACCTGGGCACTCTTAATAATTACTGTTGCCCAAGTCCCATCCTTCCTCACAGACTGATTTAGTTGGACTAAGTGAGGCCAGGCATCAGTATTTTATTTTAAGTTTCCACGTGACCTCCGTACAGCCACCATTGTAATGACTGCCTTAGAGGCATCAGCTCCAAACTTGACTACAGCTGCCCATTCGGCCCAGCTCCTTGATGATCATTCCTGGTAGTTACCTTTGTTCATCTGGCAGAGATGCTGCAGCAACAGAGGCAGGGTCTCCTTGACAATGCTGGGATGTGTTGATATAGCCGACAAGGCTTGTAGACAGCGCAGATGCCGGGAGCACTTGGTGGACCCATCCCCTCCAGCCAAATCTGACTCCTCTGAAAGCACCCAGAAGACAAGGTTTCACTGTGTGATGGCAAGCATGAAGGCTCTCAAGACTCCCTGGGAAGGGGCAGGCCACAGAAGATGAAAGACACATACCCCCACACAGCTCCTCAGCAAGCTTGGGCACTAGGTGGCTGCTGAAGGCCACAGGGTAAAGAGTGGCCAGGGTTCCTGATGCTTCCAATGCTGCCACCCTGCTGGGGACAGAGGGCAGATGAGCATTAGTTGAGCCTTGGTCCACCGTTCCCTTGCCTAGGCCCGCCATTAGGTAGATTCAGGAGTATGGTCTCCTGAGGCCACCTTGTTGAAGAGCAGAACTCAAGTACTTAGTTGGACAGGATTTCTTAATGCCCAAGAAAAGAGAGCAGTCCCACATCTCCAACCACTTGGCCACAAAGATCTAAGCACAAGGCCCACCTCCCCTAAGGAGAGCCAAGGGTGGGAAGCACAGAGCCCTGAAACAGCCTGCTCTATCTCGCTCTTTAGATTCTCACCAACTCTGGGAATCCTCCTCCAAGAAACTCAGTCTGTATAGGTGACCCACTGCCAGCTCCAAGTCCCCAGAAGACAGGAGATCTGTGTTAGAAGGGAACACGAACCACATCTTTCTTCCCCTGCAGCCACCACAGCCCTTCCAAAAGTCCCATTAGAAATCCCAAGTCAACCAGGGTTTTAGTGAGAACCAGAGAATTAAGACTTCTTTTCACTTAAGATAAAAAAATCACAAGAAAGGGATCAATACCCTTATCTTTTCTCTTTCTCTTAAGTGTACCTGGCTGGGCACCCAAGACAGTGAGAGTACGGATGCCAACAAGCTGAAGGTGGGTGTTGGGGTCTGCGAGGGCCATGAACACCAGTGAGCACAGCTGGTCCTTGAAGCCACTCAGAGGCCTTTCACCTAGGGAGAGAGAGTCCAGGTTAGAGGGAAGCCCTGACTCAGCAGTAATGCAAAGAGAATTCAGGGCAGATTTAAAGAGCTTAATCCACTGAGTGTCCAGGAAGTACACTGGGGAAAAACAAAACAAAACAGGTCTCAGCTGTTAAGTGTTTTTTTTATGCTACAACCTCAGAACGACAGGTCCACTGTTCTAGACTACTAATCCATGGGACTCTGCTTGATCTGGAGGTGACCTCACCTTTGTCTTCATAGCTCCATTTCTGTTGCAGCTTCAAGAAACCCAGGATCATTTCAAGGATTGTCCGCCGCTGGTTGCTCTATAATGTTTTAAGGGATGTTAGAGTCAAAGAATACAGGGTGGGGCAAAAGTAGGTTTACAGTTGTGAGTGTTTGAAATAGTTTATTCTTGTGTTATTATTTATTAATTATTGTATTATTTTCCTTATGAACAACTGTAAGCCTACTTTTGCCCCACCCTGTATGTTAAAGGATTTCAGTCCTGCTACTCTGGAAGCGAGGTGAATTATTCTTTTACGTGTCAGGAAAAGAGTAAACAAGGGAACCAGCAGCAGCTAACAGAAGCAAAACCCAGAACCTACTATCTGGGCATAAGCTCAACGCTTAGCTCTCTCTGTGAGAAAGGGCTCCTAGCAAGGGGTCCCATCATTTCCTCGAAAGACCATGCTCCCTTACCTGACTGTGCTTGTGGAACTGTTCCAGCAGCAAAGGCAGTACGTTGCTGGTGATGTGGTCACAGGCCCGGGCAGATGCCCCTGCAGCTGCCTGCAACAGTTTGGCACTAGGCCACACCAGTTTCATGTCCGGTTCACACAGATGGTGCCTGCAGTCTAGAGAGGCAGCGCATTACATACCTGGGAGTAGGCCGAATGTTGCCTGCTTCCTCTGCAGTCCATCAGTGTTGGAGACTGCAACCAGGGACAGTTGGCAGTTACATTGAATTTTTTTTTTAAATTCAAAGTAGGGTTCTAGCCCCCTAATCACTGAACATGGTGGGGCTACACATGAAAGGTCCCTGGCCCTTAAGGAATCTCTCTACCGCCCTCACTCCCCTTTCTGGCTTCCAGGGCCCTGTTACCCTGCAGAATGTTGCTAAGGAAGAAGTCAAGGAGGTCTTCAGCATCAGCCCTCAGCACACAACGAGACAGACAAGCAGTCAGGGAGTGGAGCGCTGCCAGGCCCTCGGCCTCCACCCGCTCACTTGCCGTCTGGAACACCTGTGAGGGAGGGATCCCATGGCTACTGAGGTGAGCCTGCACCAAGTGAGACCCCACCCACCCACTGCCCGTTTCCTTGGGGGGTGTGGGTTAAGAACCTTTAGGGCACAGCAATGGAAATTAACCCCTCCAATGAGTTTCTTCTTAATTGGTGTACTCTCACCAAGTCCTTAGCCCCACTGGGATTCATACACATACTTTTTGAGAAAGAGAATGCCAACTGTGAGCCATCATTGGGATCCCTTATCTTATGTCTCTTCCCTCTCCTTCTATTAAGCATGGTGGCATAGGCACCATGACTATGCTCCTTATCATGGAAGGACATGAGGTGGGCACTGTGAAAAGGTGATCGATCAAGTGCCACCACCAAGTAGCTGAACCTCACATAGGGATGCTCTCCCTTGTAATTCGACTAGAAGTATGCCTCATTGCTTGCTTGTTGAATACCCAGGCATAGCAACAGATGGAAGAGCACAGGGTACATCATTTCCCTGATGCCTGACACTGAGAGTTAAAAGTAGTGAGTTCATCTAAGTAACACTCACCTCTCTGCGGATAGAAGCCCAAAGACTGGGGAGGAAGTCCTTCAGTTCCTTCTGTCCGTACACAGCACAGCAAGCATTCTGCCAACAAAGTGCAGGTATCAGCTATCTACACACTCACATTTCGTAAGACATGCAAATACCTCAGCATAATGGCATCTAAAGAAGCCTGGCTCTCAGAAGGATTTTATAGTAGTAATACCCAGGGCAAGAAAAATAGGTGCTCACCCTCACTGATGAAAAACAAGCATCAAGAAGGAGCCCTGGTCAGCCTTTCCTTGGTGGCCACTCAGTTACTACAGGACAAGACAATATGCAGCTGGGGCCTTTATAAATGTCAACATGTAGGCCCAGATCCTGGTATCCCTCTTTTGAGGCCCACTGAACTGTTCCCTGGCTCTCCAATAATCTACAATCCTTTAGCACCCCTAATTTGTCTAAAGGCAGCTGGACCCTGGAAGAAGAAAAATCACCAGAGTCTGCAGAGAATCCAGCTTAGCACTCAGAATCTCAGAATCCACCTTCTCAATCAGCAGAGGCAGCAGGAACTGTGGGAGAGAAAGAAGAACTGAAGTCTGAGATAGGTAGTGTTGCATCCATACCAACGCCAACCATGTCCTTACTGCCACCAGTCCCCAGGGGCAGGTGCTATACCAAGGAACTATTCTTGAGTAAGGAGTTGTGGCTTTCAGCCAACCTTCCTGTCCAGATGAAGCCAGACCCCCCCATTACCTGAAAAATGGCTGGCAAATCTATAGGACTTTAAAAGACAGCACTAGATAGGAACTGGATTACTATTTTAAAGAAGAGATGGTTGTTTTCAACATTGAAGGTCTGAAGATACTTGCCACACAAGCCTGAGGACACTTTCAGGATGTCATACCTTAAAATGTATACTGGATCTTTCTTCTTCCCCATGCTTTCACTGTTCTTTCTTCAGAGCCTCCTGTGGACTGAGGCTACATACCCTAACTGTGGCTAGACCTACCTCAGCAAATCGCGGTGTGGAAGCCAGCACAGCTCGGAGACTCAGGATGAGATCTTCTCTCTGGATACCATGAGGATCATTAGGTGGCTGGAGAAGGGAGAAGGGCCATGGGTTTGTATAAGTCTTTGGACACAGGCTTAAACCTGACAACCCAAAGAACGGTGATATTTACACCCAATTTGGTAGAACAGTATGACATAGGCTCTAGTAGGAAGACATGCTCGCTCTTACGTGTTCCTTGGGAATGTCTGTCTTTGGGGCATTTATTTTCTATCTGATCACAGAGTTTCTATCTGATCTGTCATCTCACCACTCAGAGATAAGCATCAATTTTCGGGTGCATTACTTTCTTCTCTGTATATATATTATGACTATTTGTTAGTAGACACTGTTTCCCTTTAAAATATATAATTTTAGAAAATGTGGTTGTTTTGTACATATCATTTATAATTTACTTTTTCACTGAACACATTATGAACATTAATTCCATGGTATTAAATTATTCTTTCACAGTATTAGTTTTAGTGGCTGATACTGTTCTATTGTGTGGTTGAGCCACAATTTATTTAAAAAATCCCCCTTTGATGGACATTTCTATTTATTTTTTTTTACCCTTATAAAAAGCTGTAATTCTGGCAATATAAAAATAATTGATGGTTTCTGAATCAAGACAGCAGACTGAAAACATGCACCAGATTTTTTTCCTTTTCTTCTTTAGAAACCCCATGAAAAATACAGTTAAAGGGTTTTTTTTTTTAATGACATCAAGTTAAAGGTTGAAGAGAACAGGAAAAGAGACATTAGCAACAAAATTTTAGAAGCTGAAAAACAGATGGGTAAGAAGAAAATGACTTAGCAGAGCCAAAAACCCAGAATCCCTCAGTAGCCTTGGGAGAAGCTGAATAACCACCCATAAACATTCCTGGGAAAGCTTAGCAACTGGCAGTACCAGGTGCCTCTGGAATTGCAGAATTCTCTCATAGAGTAACAAAAAGATAGAGGTAGAAAATATGAAAGAAAAGGTAAGAGATTCAGAGGTCTAACAAAAGATTAATAGGAGTTCCAAAAAGAAGAAAGAGAGAAAACAGAGGGGAAGAAATGCAAGAAAACTTCCCAGGACTAAAGGACATGAATTTCCAGATTGATAGGGCCTACCAAGTACTCAATACAATGCATGAAAACAGACCTATGGTAAGGCACATCATTGTAAAATTTCAATATATTGGCAGCAAAATCAAACTTAAAGGCTTCCAGAAAGGAGGAGAAGTAAATACAAAAGTTTACAAATCAGAAGGAATTTAGAATTCTCCAAGGAACTAAAACCTAGAGGTAAATGCACAAATGCCTCCAAAATCTTGGGGGAAAAGAATTTCCATTCTTGAATTTTATACCCATACTATTAAAAAGTAGGAAGAAAGAATGAAGACATTTTAGATTTACAAAAATCTAAAAAAGTTTCTCTTTTTTATATACTTTCTCAGGAAGCTAACAAAGGAGGCACACCACCAAAATGAGGGAGTAAACCATAAAATGAGGCATATATAAAATAGGAAATCTGATCCAAGAAAAAGAATAAAGGAATCCCTAGGATGATGGTGAGGGAAGATTCAATATCTACTCTGTATTAGGATTAGGAAGCAGCTAGTTGAGAGTGTGTGGCCAAGTTAAGTATAGTTCCATATTTTTAAAAGGTTGAAAAATAATAATATTTGTGACATGAAATTATATGGAATTTAAATTCCTATGTCCATAAATTAAGTTTTTTAAAGTTTTTTTTATTTTCCAATTTAGTTTACTCTCAATATTATTTTGATTTGGTTTTAGGTATACAGCATAGTGGTTAGACAATCATATACTTTACCCCAATATTTCCAGTACCCACCTGGTACCATACATAGTTATCGCAATATTATTGACCCCATAAATTAAGGTTTATTGCAATACAGCCACTGTACCATATTTGTGGTTGTATTTGTGCTAGAACAGCAGAGTTGAGGAGTTGCAACAGAGACCAGATGGCCTGCAGAGTCTAAAATAGACATTATTTGGTCCTTTATAGAAAAAGTTTGCCAACCCCTGCTCTAGAGTGAGCATACAGGTATAGTGAGTCAAAGGAACTGTTACTTATATTGATGTGATCCACTATGATGATGGCATATGGCCAAAATGGGTTGATAAGACCTTAAAGAATATTTCTAACACAATTAGTTACACTAAAAGCCAGTTGCCTCCATTTTATTTGACAGGAGTTTTCTGTTTCCCATATACTGCAGTGCAGAACACACAGAAATCTCCTCCAAGGAGAGAAATTCTCCTATCATTATCTATAACCTTGTTTTGCCTAGAATATCTCGGAGAAAATATATAAACTGTTGGGATCAGTGATTACCTCTAAAGGGAAAATGTGTGGTGGCTGTAAAAGGGTATCAAGTGGCTTAATTCTCTATACTTTAAATGTGTGATCATGCCCATTTGTATTACCTTTCAAGAAAATGAATGACATAGTCTTCTTTGCCCTCAATTATAAATGCATATATTCTAACAATTCCACTTTTAGGAATTTATCCTACTGTTATACCCATACATATGTGAAATGATACATGTACAGGATATGTAAATTGCAGCATTGCTTCTAACAGCAAAAGATTAGCAACCAACCTTAATCCCGTAGAGGACTAGTGAAATTAATTTAGTACTTCCATGCAAAGGAATGTTACACAACCATAAAGAACAAAGAGCTAATTTATATAATGATATAGAATATTTTCCAAAAAGGCAAAATACAGGAAAAGTGTATATGTATGTGTATATGTATGTATGTATACACACACAACCATTTTGGGGGGAGGGGAGCATAAAATATTTGCATATGGATGAACAAAGCTCTGTACAGACATAACTGATAAAAGTGGTTGATAATGGAGAAAGACACTTGATGAAAGGTAGATTTTTTTTTACCTTTTGGATTTTGAATCATGTGAATGTATTATCTTTCCAAAACAAACACAAAATAAAACAAAGCAAAACCAGAGAAACCTGGTAGCCTAACCAAGAGCTTTCAAGATTTCAAAGACACACGTTCTGAGTTAGGGATAGTGATACTGATTATAAAAGAAATGAAATGAATTTCAGGAGAGAGGTGGCCCCAAGCAACATGATGTCAACTGGAAAAAGGTGGTAAGAAATTCCCTATGGCAAAGATGGCTCTGTAATTTTAAAGGCAACGGGTCAATACTCAGATGTTGTTTGGTATGCCATGATATAACTCCTTTCATTTCTTCCAAACCACTAATGCTTGCAGTGATAAGACCCTGAGTATCTGGAAATAGAAGTAAAGATGCAGAAAAGGCGGAAGGTCCAAGGAGGTCAGAGCAAACACCTCCTGTACATACTGTGCTCAAATGTATCTTTTTTGTTTTGCCAATTTGTTTCTATTGCCTGAGACACCACCTCAGACTCCAGGATCATATCCTAGGCATCCCTCAGAAATCAACTGAAATCCTATCTATCTTATCTGTGAAGTCAGTTCCTGCCTACTCTAGCTCATACTGAACTCTGTCTTCTCTGAAAAACTGTAACAGTCATTTTGGTCCATAATCTCATATTGTAATTTAAATATTTCAACCTTCAAGGGCAGGAATCATGTTTTACAATCCTGTAGCTTCTAGCACTAAGTACACTGGTAAGGAAGTTAAGCATCCCCCTAAATGCCTGCTGAACTGAATCCTTCCTCTGTGGCAAATGCTTCTCCACCACTGTTTACTAAAATTAAGTTCCTAAAGACAGGGACTGTCTCTTTGTTCATTGCTGTACTCTCAATGCTTAGAACTGGAAGTGGTAGACAGCAGGCATTCAACGAATATTTAAATGAATGAATGAATGAACGAACAAATGAATGAAAGGTGCTACTTACAGGGGTAAAATCAATAGGGAAATAACAGGATGTCACTTCAAACAACTCCTCCACAAAGGGTCCTAAAGAAACAGAGAATGAGGTTGACTTATAAGCTTCACTCATCTGACAAGCCTCCACCAGCTAATTCAAGGCTACAAGGATGTACCCAGGCTATAGTCCCTGGAGATGAGGTCATGGACGATGCGGAAGGCCACCAGAAGATTACGGGGATCCTTTTCTCCATCCATCACCTGGATGAAGCCAAAGGTGAAGTCAGCTCCTAGGCCCTTCAGCTCTGGGGAGGAGAGAACAAGGTCACTGCCATCACATGAACAGAAAGCTGGGCTTTCTCCTGGTCTGTGCTCTCCCTCTGCGATCACTGTCTCCCAGAGAGGACCCTTTTGCTTTCCTATTCCAAGAGAGTGCTCAGTGAAGAAGAGACGTGCAACAATATATAACTATTACAGAGGTAAGAATTTAAACAGCTACCATTCCTTTACTTTAGTGGGGAGTGAGTAGACCCCCAGTTTCCCTTTATCATTCCTCTCAGAGTGTTGGCTCTTGTATATACCCCCAGGCTAAAACGAGTCCTGGTATTGGGGGGAAAGGACGTGTTCGCTTTTCAGATTTCCCAGAGAGCCCTGCCTCTTACCTTCTTCCCGGGTTCGCATAAAGTTGGTGATAATACTGTAGACTGTGTGTCGGTCCACCTGTGGCAAGGACTTCGGGCCGGAGAGATAAGAAATAAATAAACTGCTCAAAGAATAACTCAGCTGACAAAACTACTTCCTGCTTGCAATCTCTAAGTGGACAGAGCTCTTTATACCGGTATAAGCTGAACCTAAGAGGAAGTGTAGAGGAAGGACATGGCTATTAGCCCAGCACTACAGCAGTGGGGCCAATAACCAAAACCTGTCTGCTGTATGCCTTACTTTCTTTAGGTGTAAGAGGTCACAGGTCAGACATAATGGCATGCCTCCCTCTTCTTATACAGTAGCAAGGAACAGCATGTTAACATGGTCAAAGACCTGAAAAGAGCTGAGAACTTCAAAGGCAATATTTTTTTGTCATCTAATTCTAGTTATGTGACGGGCTGGGAGATAGAGAATAAATACCAAAGTGACTGTTATCACTCACCTGTACATGGACCTCCTGGAAGATGGCTTTAAGCACAGAGACAGCTAGCCCTGGTGGCAGGGCCACACACAGGCTCTGGGGGAAAAGAGTGAGATATGTGAGCACTGAGGGAGTTTTCTAGCATAGCCTTCAAGACACAACCCTAGAACAGGCCTAATGAGCTACAGTGGGAATCACAACATCCAGATTCAGCAAGAAGTGAGAAACACAGTCCCTTTCTCAAGTTGATTAGTTCTTTGTAGTACCTTCCAGGTTGGGTCTGAATTCCAGTCCCCAAGGATACTCTTTTACCTTATAAAACAGACTAAAAACTGAAGTGAAGCTGGCTGAACACTAGCTTAGTCCCACATTTGGGCATCTGCTCCTCAGCACTTGAAGTCTCACCCCAAAGGGCAAAGGGAGAATTCACTGGAAAAGGGCTCCTGCAAACACCATGTGTAATGGAAAAAAACAAGAACTCACAAGTGCCCTCAATCCCCGCAAGACCGATGGGATCACAAGATGATGGTCCTTCAGCCGGTTCTCATAGAATAGGATGAGGTGTACCACTGCACAAACAAGAAATTCAGCCATTAGTCCACACAGGCTGGAGGAGGGATCACCAGGTTTGCTCCTTCTCAGAGTTTCTGAGGGCTGTTACTGCTTGGGCTTCACTACAAATTTCCTCCTTCACCAAGAGGTATGTCCCATGCCCTCTCATTTGAGGGGGACTTGATTAGTCAGGAAAATAGGTGAACATCTTTTATTATCCATTCTCACATAGGTCCACTGTCAAACCCATTCTCAATCCCAGAACTGCCTTTCCATAGAACTGGGGCTGGCATACTTTCCCAAAGGGTCAGATAGTAAATATTTGAGGCTTGCAGGACATAGTATGTGTCAAAACTACTCAACTTGGCCACTGTAACATAAATGCCGCACAAACACTAGGTAAATAAATGGGTGTGGCTATATGCTAATAAAACTTTATAAAAACAGGCTGCAGTTTGCCTACTCCTGCTATAGAAGATAAAAAAGTTGTTAGCTTTTTTCCATTAGGACTTCAAAGCACTCTGATATTTCATTACTTTTCCACTCCATCTATGAGACACTACTTTGTCCATTTTACCAAGAGGGGAGGATACACTGAAAAATAACTGTCTAAAATTCAAGGCCGTGTCTTCTATCTCAATTCTTACCATTTGTGTGACATACACCAGTGAGGAATAGAGACCTTGAACTAGTAGTTCACAAATACCTCATGCTCTTCCTCCCTCCCTCCCTGTAAAGTTCCCTTGAATAGACAAGGAAGGCCTTGCTTGGCTAGGCAATCCAGGGAGACACTCCTACTAGTGATGCCAGTACCTTCCTTCTCCAGGAGCAAGGAGTGACACTGGAGTAGCACCTGTGACAAAAGCTGGATTCCTCGTGCCCGAGTTCGGGGTTCTGGATTCTCTAGAGAAGACCTGGGGAAAAGTAGGATAGAGAGAGCCTGACATTACCCAGTTCAAACTTTTAAAGAAGTAGATATTTTGCAATTAGTTACACTCACCCCCTGGGCATGGAAGCCAGCGGAGGAAGGTATTCTGGAGGTACTTAGTATTATAAACAACAGTAAGGCCTGAGCCTAAAGAGCCAATCCCCAGATTGATCTGGCATCATTAGAGGGACATGTGACACCACAGCCACCAGAAGTGCCCATCTCCAGGTACCGACTAGGCATTAGGCTTTCTCTTTCTCCCCAGTAGTACAAGTGTGACATTCCTCTGAAAAACAGCTTAGTGGCTATCCACAGGACTCAAGAGATGACTGGCAGCTGCAGCTTCTACCAAAACAGGAGGAGAATAAATATATTACTGCTAAAGAAAAAAAGCTGAGAACATACACCAAGGTCTTCGGGGAAGAAACAAAAGCTTTGTAACTGGAAGCTTACAAAGTAATGGCCAAAATTAAGGTTTTAACTATTTAGGATTACGGATTTGAGAGGACCTGGACTGAAATAACATGGTGATTTATCTCTGAGGTTGCTCTATAGAGATTACATTTAAACATACTAGAAAGAAGGAATCTAAGCTAGCATATGTAGGAAACAGAAGATTTCTGAAGAAGAGCTGGCCAGAATATTTCAGTGAAACCTCAAGGATAAGGATATCTGTACCTAGGGGTAAAGGGGAAAAAATAAGATGCTTCTTGACAGGATAGGAACTTGTAGAAAGGTCCCTGCTCAGAAGTAGAAAATTGCATTTAAAAATAGACCAAGGTGCACAAATGCTCATAGCAGCATTACTCAGAATAGCCAAAATGTAGAAACAACTCAATATCCATCATCTGATAAATGGTTAAAAAAAAAAGTGGTATATCCATACAACAGAATATTATTCAGCAAGAAATGAAATACATGCTACAACAGGGATGGACTTTGAAAACAGATGCTATGTCAAAGAAACCAGACACAAAAGGTCACAGGTAGTGTGATTACATGTGTGAAATGTCCAGAATAGGCAAATCCAGAAAGACAGAAAATACATTAGTGGTTGCCGGGGTTGGGAAGAGGAGGGAATGAGGAATTACTGCTAATGGGCATGGGGTTTCTTTTTGGGGTAATGAAGATGTTCTAAAACTGACTGTAGTTAGGGCTGTACAAATCTGTGAATACACATTTTAAAATGGTGCAAGTTATGATAAGTGAATTATATCCCAATAGAGGTGTTATTTAAAAAAAAAAAAAAGAACCATGGGCAGAATAACCTGAGTAGAAAGGCCAAATGGTCACTTACGTGGAAGAAATGCAAAATAGTGACCTACTTCCAATACCACCACCACCACCACCAAATGGCTATGACTGTTAATAACCTTTGCTAAGACTTGTCAATTAAATGGTCTACCAAGTATGAAATATGAGGAAAGCAGGCATTAGACTACAAGCACATACTTCCTCTGGTGCTTGGAATATCTGGTTGAAACACTGATCTTCCAGCTGTTTCCCTAAACAGCTGTTTTCCTATAGAGGGTTCTGGTGTAAGGCCAGCTTCCTGGCAACTCCCGAGGCAGGGCCCAAGGCAGGTCTGAGTCAGATCCAGGATGACTAGAATCCCAAGGGGGCAGGTGGTTCTAAAGAAGCATAGGAGGAACCCCAGCTCTAATTAAATAATAGTTGATGATGGTTCTAGCCGGTTTTGTTCAGTGGTTAGAGCATTGCACCCACGGACTGAAGGGTCAAGGGCATGTACCTCGATTGCAGGCTTGATCCCAGGCCCAAGTTGGGGTGCATGCAGGAGGCAACCAATCAATGTGTCTCCCTCACATCGATGTTTCTCTCTCTCCCTTATGTTCTCTGAAAAGCAATAGAAAAAATATCCTCAGGTGAGGATAAATAAATAAATATCGATGGTTTTCAACCACCCACCTTGCCCAAACCTGTGGGCTGATCTAGGAGCTGGTGTGGCCCACAGGCTGTGTGCTCCCAATGCTACCTTAGGAACTTTAGGTGGCATGAAATTTTTTTCAGGAGAAACTCGGGTTTAGCCTGAGGTATTGATAAGGGGTGGGTGGTTGGTTTGGGCTACAGTAGGAGAAAGTCAGGACCAATTAGTTCCAGGAAAGGAGCAGTATACAAAATAACTTTTTGAGGCCAGGCTAGAGAAGGGCTTCTGGAGCAGAGGCTCTTTCTTACCCAAGGGCTTCCACCACTTGTAACACGGTATAGCTTCCAGATTTCACATCTAGAGGAAACAAATGAAAGAAATATGAAAAAAACAAAACAAAACCCCATCCCAGGGTTCAATGGCTTTAATCGCAATGTTACCTGCCCACCCTAGGGTTTACACTATGGGGCCCACTATGATTGCCAAGATCTCCTCCTACATGAGAAGCATTACTCTAACACTTTAAATATGCAGCTTCAAGTATAAAAATGAAATGGAAGTAAATATATCATTTGTAGATTGAACATGTACATGACTGTATATCTAGAAAATCCGAGAGAAAAACTGAAAAAATATTACAAATAATTTGTTAGGGTGGCTGGGTAGAAAATTAATATTATGAAATTAAGAATCTTCACACACACACACGCATGTAAAATAATATAAAGGAAAAAAAGATCCTCTTTACTATAGTCCCTCCCCCCAGAAAAAAGTAGAGAAAAACATCTGGATATAAATTTTTAAAATGTGAAGATCTGAATGGCGAAAACTAGCACTACTGAGGATCACAAAAGAAAGCTCAAACCAATACAAAGGAATGGTATATTCCTGAAAGACTCAGTATAACAAACCTCCCAAATTAATCTGTAATTTTATTTTATTTTATTATTATTATTTTTTTAAATGTATCTTTATTGATTTCAGAGAGAGGAAAGGAGAGGGAGAGAGAGAGAGACAGAAACATCAATGATGAGAAAGTCATTGATCGAGCCCACAACCCGGGCATGTGCCCTGACCAGGAATCGAACCCCGATCGCCTGGATCCCAGGTCGACGCTCAACCGCTGAGCCACGTCCGGC